TGCATACTTCGTAAATTTTTGAAAGTATTCATTTTTTTTACATAAATAAACAATAATATTTATAGTGTGAAGCATACTCGTTAAATTGAAAGTATTCATTTTTACCCATAAATAACAACATAATATTTAGTGTGGAAGCATACTCGTAAATTGAAAGTATTTTATTTTACATATAAAATAACAATAATATTATTTAGTGTCTGTGAAGCATACTCGGTAAATTGAAGTATTCATTTTTACATAAATAAACAAAATACTTGTAGTCACTGTGAAGCATTACTCCGATCCCTCGTACATTTTAATTACTTTAAAGTTTTTCATTTTTACCACCATAAATAACAAAATAAATTTATAGGTGGTGAAGCATATCTTTGTAAATTGAAAGTATTCAATACATAATGAACAATAATATTTATATTTTGGGTTTTTTGAAGCCATTACTCGTTAAATTTTCAAAGTATTTTCAATTTTTACAAATAATAACAATAAATATTTGTTAGGTCGTGAAGGGCATCAATACGTAAATTGAAAGTATAACATAGCATTTTTTACCATAAAAAACAAAAATTACTTGTTGTGAAGCATAAAATTTGTAAAATTTTTGGTATATTGAAAGTTTTTATTTTTAACATAAAAAACAAAAAAATCAAGCATTTTAAAAACCAAAAGTTGAACATTTCAATTTTAAACCCAAAGTCCAAAAACTACAATGGGACAATTTATTACCAATTTTCATTTTTTAAAGTCAATACTCAATGTAAAAAATTTCTGAAAATTAAAAATCCAAAAAATACAATTTTTACAAATACCAAATTTTATACTAAAGGGCAATACCTACAAAATTACTAATACTAAATTTTCCCTGAAAAAATTAAGTCAAATACAAGGAAGTACACCCATCAAACCCCCATAAATTAAAAAGTCCAAAATTATACATTGTTTCAAAACAATTTCATACAAAGTCAATACTAAAAATTTTTACAACAATACAATTTCATACTAAAAGTCATAATAAAATTACTGTTTTCCCAACATACCAATTTCATACTAAAGTCAATAATACAATGTTACAACATACATTTCCATACTAAAGTTCAATACTACAATTGTACAAACATTTACAATTTTCATACTTAACAGTTCCCAATACTACAAATGCTAACATACAATTCATACTAATGAGTCTAACACTACAATGTAAAACAACATACAATTTCTACTAAAGTGTCAATACTACAACAGTACAAAATTACAATTTCATACATCAAAAAGGTCAATAATACAATGTACCCAACATTACAATTTTCATACTAAAGTCCAATAATACAATTACAACATACAATTTCATACTGAAAGTCAATACTACAATTATAACTACATACATTCATACTAAAAGGTCAATACTTAACCAAATGTACAACACAAATTTTTTTACTATGGGGTCAAATACTACCTGTACAAACATACAATTTCAAAAGTTTAAAACTACTGTTAAAAACATTAAAATTCCAAAAACTAACGTCCAAAAACTACAATAAATTTCTACTTTAAAATCAAATACAAAAGTACAAATACAATTTTTATACTAAGTCCCAAAAATCAATTTTTACAACTAAATTTCTACAAAGTTCCCAAAACCCACAAAAGTAAAAATACAAATTTTTAAATAACGTCCAAAAAATACCCCCCGACAACATTTCCCAATTTTAAAACCTAAAGTAAAAAACTACAATGGTTTCCCAAATAAAATTTTAAACTAAACCCCCTTTTAAAAAATGTACTAAAATTTCAATTTCCTACTAAAAGTCAATAAAACAAAGTAAAAACTCCCCCAAATTTTTAAAAAACTAATCTTTAAAACTTAAATTTTACTACCCTACCCCCTTTTTTTACTAAAAGTCCAAAAAATACCCAAAGGGCAAACATTTCCCAATTTTTATATTAAAATCAATAAACAATGTACAACATACCAAATTTCAACTAAAAATCAAATTTCCCAAAACCTTTTACAACCATTAATTTCAAAACTTTAAAATCATACCTACAAAATGTAAACATACAATTTCAACTAAGTCAATAAAAACAATTTAAACATTACCAAATTTTATTAAATAAAGTCAAATTTTTACAATGTTTAAACCCCTAACAATTTTTTATACCCAAACCTTTAATTTCAATGGTTTAAAACCCCTACAAAATTTTTATAAAGGTTATACCTAAATGTAAACATCCAAATTTCATACTAAAGTTATTAAAAATGTACTACATCCTTTCATTCTAAAAATTTAATAATACAATGTACACCTAAAAATTTATACTAACGTAAATACTACAATGTTTTCCCAATACAAATTTTATACCTTAAGGGCAATAATTTCAAAGTAACAAAATACAAATTTTATACCTAAAAGTCATAATAAACAATGTCAAATTTCAATTTCTACCCAAAGGTCCCAAAACCCCCTTAAAAGTAAAACTAAAATTTTTATACTAAAGTTTTAATAATAACCCAAAAGTTATTTAATACAATTTCATTAAAACTACCCCAAAAGTACAACAAAAACATTCATTTCTAAAGTCAATAATAAAAATTTTTAAAAACCCTAAATTTTCCCAAAATAAGTTTTAATAAATAATCAATGTACAACATACAATTTCATACTAAAGTCAATAATACAATGTACAACATACAATTTCATACTAAAGTCAATACTACAATGTACAACATACAATTTCATACTAAAGTCAATACTACAATGTACAACATACAATTTCATACTAACGTCAATACTACAATGTACAACATACAATTTCATACTAAAGTCAATAATACAATGTACAACATACAATTTCATACTAAAGTCAATACTACAATGTACAACATACAATTTCATACTAACGTCAATACTACAAATGTACAAAACATACAATTTCATACTAACGTCAATTACTACAATTTGTACAACATACAATTTCATTACTAAACGTCAATACTACAATGGTACAGACATACATTTTCATACTAATGTCAATACTACATGTACAACATTACAATTTCATACTAAAGTCAATAATACAATGTATAACATTACAATTTCATACTAAAGTCAATACTACAATGTAAACATACAATTTCATACTAAAGTCAATACTACAATGTAACTACATACAATTTCATACTAAAGTCAATACTGTACTACAATGTACTACATACAATTTCATACTAAAGTCAATAACTTACAATGTACAAACATACAATTTCATACTAAAGTCAATACTACAATGTACTACATACAATTTCATACTAAAAGTTCAATACTACAATGTACAACATACAAAAAATTTCAAAACTAAAAAATCAATACTACAATGTTCAACTTTGTTTCCCCCCTTTGTCTTTTCTTCCCCCCCCCCAAATTTTTCTTTTGGCCCCCCAAAATCTTTTTTTGTCACCATTTTTAAATTTGACCCTGGATGCTTACTTTGCTTTTTTTTTGCTAAAATCTCCCAAACCCACCTTGGCTTTTTTCCCGGGCTTTTGGAAAAAATTCAACTTTAAAATGAACCAGGCCACATGAAAATGATTAAAATAATGGGAAGGGAATTATTAAAGGGGGGGCCCATTTACAAATTAAACTAACCTAAAAAACAAAAAAAAAGCTCCTTTCAGGGGGGGCCCAATTTTTGAAAGGTATAAAGATACCCCCTTTTTTTTTCCCTCAATTTTTTTTTCAATACGTTTCCCTTTTTAAATTTATGCGAAGTTTAAAAAATTATTTCGCTAGTTTGTTGGTTTTAAAAACTATTTTTCTTCCCCTTTGAGTCCAAAAAACGAACCCAGATTTATATACGTGGAAATGAAATTTAAAACTTTTCATTTTTTTTATATATGCTGGGTATAATTTTTGGAAATCTTTAACCCCTGTTCAAGGAAAATAAAGAAATTTTTCGTTTTTTGAAAAAGAAAATTTACCCCTTTCCCTCGAGTTTCACTTTTTGTTACGTGGAAACTAAATATGCGCCAGTTGTGTTTTTTAAAAAACAAGAAGATTTTGATATTTTTGTTCATGGAATATGTAAACAGGTTCGTCAAATATTCAAAACCTTCAGATAGAATAATGTATTTTTAGTGCATTATGTTTGGCATTAGAACAACGAAGAAGTTGGCAAGTGCGGAAACCTATCTCAAATAGTTTCACTCGAAACTTAAAATGTATTTTTATCTGTTTATGTATCTATTAAATTTATTTGTCACTTTCACCAACAATTATCAAATTAGTTTAACATGCACGGAATAATGTAAATTGTTAAAATTCAAACTTATGAAAGATAATGATTTTGTTTCAGCAGAAAACCAAGGTCCCAGTTTCTACAAAAAATGTGCTGCGCTCTAATTTCGTATCTGAAATATATTCACATTTTATTTGTTTTTTTTTTGTTTTGGGTTTTTTTGGTTTTGTTCTTCTTTTTTGGGGTACTTTTTGGGTTCTGGGGTGGGGGGATGGTGGCGACTTGGAAGTTTTGTGCGTGTGCCCAAACGGGGTGTTGTCGGACTTTTGGTGTGTCGGCCTGTTTGCTAAAAAGTGTACGCCCAAAAGGTGCGTTTTTTGTGTGGCTTTTTGTTCCCCGATGTCACATTTGTCGCTCGGTTTAAAACTAAAGGGTTGGGTTTTAAACCAATTTAGAGGGGGGACATCGCGACAAAAGCGTTTTGTAAGACAACGCGCCCTTTGACGTGCTTCGTATATTTCAGGACCCACAAAACGACAGTTTTCGACATCGGCCGTTTGGCGCTTTGGGCGTGTTTGTCCCCTAGCTACAAGAGAGGGAAAGGCCCATAAGATATTTATTGTCGTATCGACAACGCAACGCGCAATGTACCAAATCAGCCACCATACATAGGCGACACTAATTTGTTACAATAATAATGTGGACGCTGACTGATATTTTTATTGATTTTTGTGGTGTAGTATTTAGAAAATAAACTGACATTTTAGAACATGTCTAAAAGTACGGACTCGTTAAAGGGCCTTCATGATGTGTAAGTCGACTGATTTTAATTCGAATTAATTAGAAGTTTTTAACACAAATCAATAATTTTATTTACAAGGATTAAAAAAACGTTTATTTCGCCGAACATTTTCTCGATACAGTATGCTTGAAGTTTTTATTTATGCGAAAAATGTATTTTATTTTATGTCTTTTTTGTAAAACATTTGTCTTTTGACAAAAATCGCCTTGGATGAAAAAACTTCAATCATTTTGAGAAAAGTGACCAAGACGTTACAAAAATGATCTAGACTTCGTGAATAAAATGAACTGATTTGTGTTAAATAATCTAAAATCGAACAAAAAATCAGTAGGCTTACACCTAATGATCGCCACTAAATGGAGACCCTTTAACGTTTCCGTACTAAAGGAATCAACCAATCGACAATAATTTGAACGTTTCAGGAAGTGGAAAAAAGTCGACATAAACGTATAGATCCTAAAGGGAGCTGGCTAACATTTGTAAATCGTTTAGGAGATAGCAAGCCAGACAGACGGAAACGAAAAAAGAAAAGAAAGAGGAAAAGTAATAATATATTGGTGAGTTTCTAGCATTAGTCTTTATTCGAGATATACCGGGACGTCTATATGTACCATTACCTAGAAGATGCATTTGTAGCTACAGTGGTACCTTTTTCTAGATGTACTAATATCTTTATTATCATTTTAGTGGCAAGAGCCAAGTTAATGAATATACTTCAGAATCTTATATGCAAAGGGTAATAGAATCGAACCAAACTACGCGGAATTAAGACGTTCTTATATCGGACATAGACGTACATTGTGCTGAAATGCTTTTTTTATAGTAACACGAATTTATTTAAAACCATTAACGAATTAAACAATGTTAAGTTATTGCTTTTAATCTTGCAATATGTAATTTCGGTTTCATAAAGAAAAATATAATGATATTTCTAATTTGATTTCCTTATAGTTATCAAATCTCTTCAATATTAGGATATTATTTGGTTGTTGTCTTACTTGCATTTTGAAAGTACTGGTTTAAACTGATGAATACTTTTGACACTAACAAAACTTTTTATACTTAATTTATTGATATGTTAAGGCAAAATAAACTGGTTGATAAACGTAAAAGTACTTCTACAAGACTCCGGCTTCCACGATATCATTTTATTTTGTGACTCGATCATCAATCTTCCGTATTTCTTAGAATTATTTTAAATCCGTCTGAAAGATGTATGCATTTCACAATGGAGAGCATGCGTGTGGCAATGCTATTCAAGGGAATTCAAGATTTTTGTTATCTTACTTGATTTTAGACTGCATGCCCTCACAATTAAGACTCTCATCTTTTAGTTTCATATAAAACAGGAGAGACATAGATATATTAGTAGAGAGGACAGATGTGTTTAATTTGTTAAAGAAATGACTTGAAAGATGAATAACGTTTTGTACTTGTTTATGTGTGATGCTTATTTATGATTTGAAAGATGAATAACATTTTGTACTTGTATGTGTGTGATGCTTATAACTGACCAGGAAGATGAATATCATTTTGTAGTTGTATGTATGTGACGTTTATTTATGATTTGGAAGATGAATATCATTTTGTACTTGTATGTATGTTTTGGAAGATGAATATGAATTTTTACTTGTATGTATGTGATGCTTATAACTGACTTGAAAGATGAATAACGTTTTGTACTTGTTTATGTGTGATGCTTATTTATGATTTGAAAGATGAATATCATTTTGTACTTGTATTTATGTGATGTTTATTTTTGACTTATTATTATTATTGTGTTTAAATCCATGTTTGCTAGAAAGCGAAAATAAACCTCTCCTTCATAGACTTTCTATTTTTATTTTGAAGACTTTTCAACTCAGAGATTCTTACACAAATATTCCAATTTTAATGTAATTCTACAAACACGAGTGTTTACTCTCTCATGTAACAAATTATATTCATTTATACATAACTTTTAAGTCAACGGCTATTCATAATATCCAAAACATAAATAAAGAGTATATATGAAATAAAGCATATCCTTTTAATCGTATTTTAAATACAATTTAAGACTATATATATTTTTTTATTAATTATCAGTTAGGACCCCCGGGCCCGGCAGGACCTCCCGGACCTCCAGGTCCAGCAGGCAGAAGTGTTTCAAAAGAAGAAATCATTGCCGGTCTAGAGCATCTGATAAAAGGTTTGTTAAACTTAAACTTAATTTATCTCCAACGAATTCTCGGGTCATGACTGCGATTCCCAAAATGACACCAGTACTGGTTAGTTGACAGTGATTAATATAAGTTGCAAGAACATGTTTTACAATCGAGCTTGAATAGATTTGTTTTTTTTTAAATTAAACTATCGAATTTTGTAAGTTTGTTTTACATATACAAGTCAGGAAAAATAGTTATGATACCAATTACTTTATAAGTAAATAAGATCGATGCTCACACACGCGCACACACGCGCGCGCGCACACACACAGAGGTGGGCTTACATGGCGAGGTGAGTGTAGGTATTGGTAGGTTTACCCTCACTTTGTATTGGCTAAAACAACACATTCACCTCGCCATGTAAAGTATACCAGCCCACCTATCTGTGTGTGTGCGTGCGCGCGCCGTGTGTGTGTGCGTGCATCACAGCAATACAACATTTAAACAGTTTTATAGAATGAATGTCATATTACAACGGGTGGACTCAAATTGCACGGAGGGATAACTGACATTAAACCAAGAGTATTGTTTTGTAAACGACGTAAATTTATTAAACGTTTGTGAATCGTTCAAATAATTCGCGTTCTTTCACTACATCCTTTAAAAAAACAAAACAACAAAAAACTTATCTTTGTTGTACTTTATATTATAGAAGAAGCCACTAGAAGAGCACAACAGATGTTAGCTGACATGGTGAGTGAAAATTTGGTGAGTGATACGCCTTTTACCTGAACTTTTTTGCTACAGATGTTTTTATGGCAATGAGGGCAATTAAAGTGATTTAGTATTTTATATGGAAGTCAATATACCACTTTGTTTAACCTTTGTTACCCTTATGACAGCCATTTTCACGTTCATTACTATTAGCATCCAACAAACTCTTGTACCATTACTTAAAGCGGCCTTCAGTTTTTTCAAAAGGTTAACTATATAATTTTTTAGATCGATCGTTTCATATAATTGTCAAATCAAAAGAATTTAGGTGTAAAAAAAAGCCTATAAAATAATAAACAATAATGAAACCCCGCGGTACAGGTCCGCTCTATTTTTAGAAACAAAGGTCACTATGGAATACTTAGTTTGAAACAGCACATCTAGTGTCTACAAAAACCAGCTCGTATCTATCTTTAACACATTCTGTCAAGCTCTTGATGTTGGTAAAAAAAGTTCGCGCCGTCTTCTGTGATTTTTCTAAGGCGTTTGATCGAGTATGGCATCGAGGTCTACTGTATAAATTGAAGTTGACTGGTATAGCAGATCAATTACTTGATTGGTTCCGGAGAGGAAACAGAGAGTCGTACTTCCTGGAGCCCAAACTCCGCGCACCGGTTACGCTACGGCCATCTAATCCTGTAAGGGGAGATCACTGCGTAGGAGATTGCCTGGAGCCGTTTCATATTATCAATATTTCTTCTGGTGTTCCCACAAGGCTCCAACCTTGGTCCTCTTCTTTTTCTTGTCTATATCAATGATATTGTTTGTGATATAAATTCCAATTTTACACTATTAGCCGATGATACAAGCCTGTATATAGTTGTGGAAAATATCCGTCAACAGCTGCGAATATTTTGAATGATGATCTGAAGAAAGTCAATAATTAGGGGGGGGGGGGGGTGGCGGTGGAATGGCATGTTACTTTCAACCAAAATAAAACTGAATCATTATAAGCCTATCCACCCCCTCTTGCAATGAACGGTACTCAAATACCTGAAGTCACAACGCACAAACATCTTGGTGGCATATTGATACAATCAAAGCAAAAGCATGGGAATGAGTCAACGATATGAGAAAATTAAAATTTATTCTTGAGAAAGTATCTATATTACGTTTATAAGGCCACTTCTTGAACACTCAGATTTCGTATGGGATAACATAACAGAATAATACCCTTCTTTTGCTTTCTTGGGCTTTGTTTCGTGTATTTCTTTATTATATGCTATAATAACTAAAGCATATTTTCACAAGGAAACACATCACTGTATTATTTATAAAGAAATCATTTTAAATTGGCTAATACTTGGTTAATAAAAGATTTATTTCTTGTAAGGATCTAAAAACAGGACCTACACTTTCCATTATATCACAGTGACCCTCTCCATTCTGATCTCTTTTTTTCTGTTTTGTCTATTTATCTTTTATTCTCCCATGCCGAGGAATTATTTAAATTTGATATAGGCGTTGCATTTTATACACTTTACATGTTCAGCTCCTCTTTATGATCCTTTACAAATTACGTCATACGTAGTAGTTACTTATCATATTCTTGTTAATTTATGAAAGGAATTAAATGCAGATACAATGAAAGTACTACTAATGAATTGTAATTACAAAAACTATATATGTTGTTACTAAAATAAATTATTGAAATGTTTTTACAGAAGAGAGTTTCATATCAACTTTAAACTTTCTACTCAATCCTGAATGCTATTTATATATTGTAATTATGTCCGTTAATATTGAAGAAGAAATAATTATTGTTTAAACCAAACAGCACGTCATTGTTTTACCAACAAAAAATAAAAACTGAAGGCCGCTTTAAACCTTATGATACTCATGTTTGCCCTCTCAAAATAAGGAGAGAAAAATGTTTCTGAGACATAATGTGCCTTTAAAAGTTTCTATTATGCCATGTTGCTTTGACAAACAAATGTTCTGGAATTATATACGCCAGGCTTTGGTCGAAAAATGAGCAAAAAGTACATGTACAGATGTTATCGTGCGACTATCAGAATATTAACATGGGTGTTTATAGAACAACTCTGTAAAACATATAAAGAAATTTATCCTTGATTGCTTCTTTTACTATAGTCTAAAAAGTAAACATAAACAAATATAATGTTGCAGTGTTAGAATGGTTAAACAAATTTATCTAATATATTATGGTTTATTTTAGACTCCGTTTAATGGAAGCTCAACAATTGTCAAACAACCTGGTTTAACACCACCAATATTAGTTATTCCAAGAATTTATGCTGGATTTTCACTTCGTCTTGGTTCCAAAACAAAAGTAGACAGGAAATCATTTAGGGAAATCAAATCATTTCAGCAGGTAATTTTCCTGTATTCGTTGTCTAATATATGTTTATGTTCGTTAGTAAAAAAAATAAAATGCTACCCTAGCAGCATCTTTTCATTTTGTTGCCATAAACACAAATTTTCGCCATTACGTATATGTTAGTGTTCATCCGTGCTGTTCTACAGAAATTAGAAACTTTGACGGGAGCGATAGCGACAGGAGAATGTTTCTAATTTCTGTAGAACAGCTACGGATGAATACTAACATATTTAGTGACAAACTTTATTTGGCCTCATAATCACTCACTTTATTACGTCACTGTGCCGTTCTATGAAGTACTATTTAAAATAGAAGTCGACTATGAACGGAATTCGATATAGTATCGACTTTTGTTCTTCTATGAAAATTAACGCACAGAATTTTTAAGAAATACAGCGTTTTCATTGGATGACAAATAAAGTTGGACACTAAATTTGATTAGTTATTTACATTTAAACAAAAAAATTGAAGTGAAAATGTTGAAAATAATGCACTGGTGAGAAACGTTCAAAATTGTTTGACGTGTCTAGTCTTCATCAAGCCAGAATATTTAAGAATATTTATGAAATACAGCGTTTTCATTGGATGACAAATAAAGTTAGACACTAATTAACTATGTATATGTTAGTGTTCATCCGTGCTGTTCTACAGAAATTAGAACTTCGACGGGAGCGATAGCGACAGGAGAATGTTTCTAATTTCTGTAGAACAGCTACGGATGAATACTTACATATTTAGTGTCAAACTTTGTGTCCAGCTTTATTTGTCATCCAATGAAAACGCTGTATTTTTGTGCGTTAATTTTCATAGAAGAACAAAAGTCGCATACTATTTTTCGAATTTCCCTTCAAAAGTCGACTTCATTTTTTATTTATAAATTTTTCCTTCCCAAAAATTTTAACCGCCAAAAGTGACGTAATAAAGTGAATGATAATGAGGCCAAAAAAAGCTTGACACTAAGTATGTTAGTATTCATCCGTAGATGTCGCTCCCGTCGAAGTTTCTAATTTCTGTAGAACAGCACGGATGAACACTAACATATACATAGTGACGTAAACCATCGGTTTACGTTCAACGCAGGTTCCATTTACCGTGTTGTTGTTCTGCTACGGATTATTGATAGAATTTCAAGCTTCAGTGGTAATTTTCACGATTTCGAGAACAAACATGGCGTTGTCCATATAGCCGACAGGTAAACTGACAAAACAATCTTGCCCATTAAAAATTGACTATTATTTCAAGTTAATTTGTTAAAATTTACTTCAAATATTTTTTTTCTAACAAAAATCAACAATTTGTTTAACTTCCACGGTATTTTGATACTTTTTCTAATGCCTATGAAAATAGCTTTCTCGGGAAATCCGAATTATAAAGAAGGCGAAACATATACGGTCGTCATCAGATCTACATAAAAGAAATAAGTAGATCTGAACCTAAGTCAGATTGATACCATAGGTATATTTTTAAAAGATCATTAGGCTTAGACTGCGCCTCGTATGAAATCCATATTTACATTTGTACATATTTCATTATATATTTTTTAATTACTATAGATAAACGTCATTAGAATTCTGAAATGTAAATGCTTCCATCTTTCCAGTAATACGAACTTCATAAATCACCTTCACTGGACTTCACCCTCTATTGTTGTATAGCCTTCACCACATACAAGCTAATTTGAAGCGTGTATTCTTATTACGTCCGTCAAGTGGTATACAGTTTCAAGTATTTTGTGTCATACCATGCGCTTCATTAACGCGCCTTTTGTGTATTTTCACAACCTATATTCTATAAATATAATGTACATTTGTACATGTATTGTGAGCATCTTTGCCGACTAATGAATCATTTATTTATAAATGTCATTGAGAAAATGCTTTAGACTTAACGGTCAGTAAAAAAAAAACATCAGGTAAAACAAGTATGTAGAGGCAACAAATATATGCATCAATTTTTGACATTAATAATAATAACGTTACATGTACATGTATATACAACATGTTTACCGAGTTTTGTGGGCTGTCACGAGAATGAACTCAGTCCTTAAATCAGTACTTCTTTGACAACTTCATATGACTGTTTATATTATATTGTATATTATTATATATCGTATCTAACCTATCATATCATATAGTATTATATTCTATGGAATTACTATCTCTATCTCCCCAATCCCTATACTCAGTAACAATAATTGAATGACAATGATAGTTAAAAAATAACCATAGAACTTTTGTAACATTAATTCAATATAAATTTTCTCTGTTTCATGTAGCCTTTTGGCGGAGGAGGGTTCCAACGAGGGGAGGCATTTAACGCGAAGGAAGGGCGTTTCTTTCCTCCAATGGACGGTATATACCAGTTCACAGTAAACTTACAACTAAGAATACGCACAAAAAGAAAGTTGACAGATCGTCTAAAGACAGATGAAAATATAAGAATTATAATCTGCATTGACTCATTATGTCAGACAAACACGTAAGTTTAATTCATGCAAAAAGTTTGCTTTACCTGCTTTGAGGATAATAAATTTATGTAAATACACTGTGATGATAATACATTTATGTAAATACAGTGTGATGATAGTACATTTATGTAATAACAGTGTGATGATAATACATTTATGTAAATACAGTGTGATGATAGTACATTTATGTAAATACAGTGTGATGATAAAACATTTATGTAAATACACTGTGATGATAATACAGGTATATAATACACTGTGATAATAATACATTTATGTAAATACAGTGTGATGATAAAACATTTATGTAAATACACTGTGATGATAGTACATTTATGTAAATACAGTGTGATGATAATACATTTATATAAATACACTGTGATGATAATACAGGAATATAAATACACTGTGATAATAATACATTTATGTAAATACACTGTGATGATAATACATTTATGTAAATACAGTGTGATGATAATACATTTATGTAAATACAGTGTGATGATAATTCATTTATGTAAATACAGTGTGATGATAATTCATTTATGTAAATACAGTGTGATGATAATACATTTATGTAAATACAGTGTGATGATAATTCATTTATGTAAATACAGTGTGATGATAGTACATTTATGTAAATACAGTGTGATGATAAAACATTTATGTAAATACACTGTGATGATAATACAGGTATATAATACACTGTGATAATAATACATTTATGTAAATACAGTGTGATGATAATTCATTTATGTTAATACACTGTGATGATAATTCATTTATGTAAATACACTGTGATGATAATACATTTATGTAAATACAGTGTGATGATAATACATTTATGTAAATACACTGTGATGATAATACAGGTATATAAATACACTGTGATAATAATACATTTATGTAAATACAATGTGATGATAATACATTTATGTAAATACAGTGTGATGATAGTACACTTATGTAAATACAGTGTGATGATAGTACAGGTATATAAATACAGTGTGATGATAATACATTTATGTAAATACAATGTGATGATAATACATTTAGGTAAATACACTGTGATGATAATGCAGGTATATAAATACACTGTGATGATAATACATTTATGTAAATACAGTGTGATGATAGTACATTTATGTAAATACAGTGTGATGATAGTACAGGTAATTTAAATACACTGTGATGATAATACATTTATGTAAATACACTGTGATGATAATACAGGTATATAAATACACTGTGATGATAATACATTTATGTAAATACACTGTGATGATAATGCAGGTATATAAATACACTGTGATGATAATACATTTATGTAAATACAGTGTGATGATAATACATTTATGTAAATACACTGTGATGATAATACAGGTATATAAATACACTGTGATAATAATACATTTATGTAAATACAGTGTGATGATAATACATTTATGTAAATACAGTGTGATGATAGTACATTTATGTAAATACAGTGTGATGATAATACATTTATGTAAATACACTGTGATGATAATACAGGAATATAAATACACTGTGCTAATAATAAATTTATGTAAATACACTGTGATGATAATACAGGTATATAAATACACTGTGATGATAATACATTTATGTAAATACAGTGTGATGATAATTCATTTATGTAAATACAGTGTGATGATAATTCATTTATGTAAATACAGTGTGATGATAATACATTTATGTAAATACAGTGTGATGATAATTCATTTATGTAAATACAGTGTGATGATAGTACATTTATGTAAATACAGTGTGATGATAATACATTTATGTAAATACACTGTGATGATAATACAGGTATATAAATACACTGTGATGATAATACATTTATGTAAATACAGTGTGATGATAATTCATTTATGTTAATACACTGTGATGATAATTCATTTATGTAAATACACTGTGATGATAATACATTTATGTAAATACAGTGTGAAGATAATACATTTATGTAAATACACTGTGATGATAATACAGGTATATAAATACACTGTGATAATAATACATTTATGTAAATACAATGTGATGATAATACATTTATGTAAATACAGTGTGATGATAGTACACTTATGTAAATACAGTGTGATGATAGTACAGGTATATAAATACAGTGTGATGATAATACATTTATGTAAATACAATGTGATGATAATACATTTAGGTAAATACACTGTGATGATAATGCAGGTATATAAATACACTGTGATGATAATACATTTATGTAAATACAGTGTGATGATAGTACATTTATGTAAATACAGTGTGATGATAGTACAGGTATTTAAATACACTGTGATGATAATACATTTATGTAAATACACTGTGATGATAATACAGGTATATAAATACACTGTGATAATAATACATTTATGTAAATACACTGTGATGATAATACAGGTATATAAATACACTGTGATAATAATACATTTATGTAAATACAGTGTGATGATAATACATTTATGTAAATACACTGTGATGATAATACAGGTATATAAATACACTGTGATGATAATACATTTATGTAAATACACTGTGATGATAATGCAGGTATATAAATACACTGTGATGATAATACATTTATGTAAATACAGTGTGATGATAATACATTTATGTAAATACACTGTGATAATAATACATTTATGTAAATACACTGTGATAAATATACAGGTATATAAATACACTGTGATCATAATACATTTATGTAAATACACTGTGATGATAATACAGGTATATCAATACACTGCTATGACATTACATGTATAAAATACACTGTGATTATTATACATGTAACATGTATATAGATACACTGTGATGACGTTACATGTATAAAATACACTGTGATTATTATACATGTAACATGTATACAATTACACTGTGATGGCATTACATGTATATAATACACAGTGATTATTATACATGTAACATGTATATAATTACACTGTGATGGCATTACATGTATATAATACACTGTGATGATAATACAGGTATATTAATACACTGCTATGACATTACATGTATAAAATACACTGTGATTATTATACATGTAACATGTATATAATTACACTGTGATGACGTTACATGTATAAAATACACTGTGATTATTATACATGTAACATGTATACAATTACACTGTGATGGCATTACATGTATATAATACACTGTGATTTTTATACATGTAACATGTATATAGATACACTGTGATGACATTACATGTATTAAATACACTGTGATTATTATGCATGTAACATGTATATAATTACACTGTGATGACATTACATGTATAAAATACACTGTGATTATTATACATGTAACATGTATATAATTACACTGTGATGACATTACATGTATAAAATACACTGTGATTATTATACATGTAACATGTATATAATTACACTGTGATGACATTACATGTATATAATACACTGTGATTATTATACATGTTACATGTATATAGATACACTGTGATGACATTACACTGTGATGATAATATATGTTTATAAATACATTGTAAAATTAAACTTATAAACATGTATAGATACGCTATGTTATGTTATGTTATGATGTTATGTTATGATGTTATGTTAAGTTATATTCTGTTATGCTAAGTTATGTTATGTTATGATGTTATGTAATGTTATGATAAGTTATGTTAAGTTATGTTATGATGTTATGTTATGTGTTTTCGTTTTGTTTTACAATTTTTGACGGAGGTTATTTTTTTGAATATGCCATTATCATTTACCATCGTATTGGGCCTTCTCGTATGTATATATATTTATATTTTTTTGTACAAGTTTGTTATGAAATATTTGTAATATTTTCAGGTCCATTGAAACTATCACGGGTGTAAATATTGACAATAAAATGCTGACATCGAGTGTCACAGGACTTTTACTGTTAAAGGTAAAAATATCACTTTTATAATATTGCACACATCATCACATGTTGCCGGACATTATGTAGATTTTTTTATCAACTTGAACACTTTTCATGTATAAATCACAAGTTGTTTTGAGATACACTTTTTATTTAAACAAACAAACAAACAAACAACAACACAAAATGTTTTGAAAATAACTACATAGCGGTATCGTGTATATTGTTTTAATTAACTGTGAAAACATATGAATATTTATGTTGTTCCTTTAAACAAACCATATTTATATACCTCAGCCATAATGAAAATAACACATTTGTGCAGAAAAACATTGTAGTTAAAATTGAAATGTTTATTTTGTTTTCAGGAGAAACAATACGTGTCACTTTATGTAGACAATTCATGCTCTTACACAGTGCTTGCGCTGGCTGGCTCCGAGTTCTCGGGTATTTTGCTTGGTACATAGAAATGTGTGTGTTAGTTACAGGAACCAGTACAAGTGAAATATTCATGACGGAATAGGTGGTTGGGTTTATCAAATAACATTTACACCAGAACAAACTAAAATAAAGGTTTTAACTGAAGCTATACTTGAGTTTTCTTTTCTTCACTGTCTTTATTAAAAGTAAATTCGTTTTGCTTTCATTTAAAAGTCTCTTTGTTTTGTTGTTATTTTGAACGAAGGGGAAAAACATTTTGACATGCTATAAACAAAAGTGACGTGTATATAATATTTCCAAACCTATAAACAAATGCAAAAACATCTGAATACGAGAAAATTCATTTTATATTTTATAAATATCAAAGTTTAAATAGATAATTTGATGTGCTTTGCTATTTTCAAGGTAAGGATAGGCAGGTGTCAACATCTGTTTGTGAAGTTATGGGCTTGATTTATATACTAGATCAGAAATCAGGTGGCATTTTACTTAATAAGAAAAGTGTGATGTATAATTACTGGTTACCATATTACTATTTGTGGAAAAATTGACGTTCATAACACCGTTTTTGTTACGATGTTTATTTAATATCACAAGATGAAAAAACATGTATAGAAATCTGATAAATGTAGGTACAAAAATTTTTTGTATTGAATGTTTACTTTGATAACTAAATCAGCATCCAATTATTTTCCGTTAGACTAATAAAGCAACTCATTAGACGAATATCAAGCAGCATGAGATGACGTTATTTTTTCAGATTCGGAGTGAAACGTGACAGCTAATCCTTGTCGCTTTCATGAAAAAAAAAATTTATATATATACTTCTGATGATAAAAGTATGTAATTAAGGAATTAATGAACTTATCATGACAAGTTCTATCAGCTGATATTTACTATTAGCAAATAAAATGTTTGATTAGACTATCCTTCCATTATGTTTTTTTTTCTTTATGTTAAATTGTCTTTTATCGATCAACCTCTTTTAAAATTATATGAACATATGATTGAAGCATGAGTAAATTGCTTACGTAAAATCAGTAACTTTTTCTATTTTAAGAACGTTGTAAGATATAGTTTGTTTTATATAAAACAAAAGTAAATAATACACGGTGAAGTTGGTTGTTTGAATATCGAGATAAGCAAATCCGGGTTGGGGGCAGTCCCAGTACAAGAAATGTCCCAGTACAAAACTCACGGTGATAGGGCGTTTACCGCAACGTCAAAATACCATACATCTGACCGAGACACCGTATATTCTGTCATACAGAAAACAGATGATAATTTAACCGAAACAACGTAAAAATAACGAATTTTTCATTCCATCGAATGTGTCGTTTAATTGGAAGCTTATTACTCTTTACTACATGCAAATTGCTTCACTAAGTCAAAATAGTGAAAACAGTTGGGGCATTCTGTGAAAAATATTGTACTGGGATATTTGCTTTGAGTGCGAAATATAACGACTTCTAGTCCGTTTAGCTCAAATGACTGATAGAAATGCAATATAGATATGTACATTATTGTCTTATAAACATGTAACACCACTTTAATAACCGGTTTTTTGGATATCTGATATGATTTTCATGTTTCCACGTGTGTACTTTAGGCACTGTACAACTTGAACAATAGTAAGATGTGGGCACCGCACTTAACGTCCTTAAATCGCCGCACATTTTTTGTTGTTTTTTCCAGTAACGTCGATCGACAAGAGATATTAACATGTGGCGTTTATGCATTTGAAGAAATTCCCAGTACAAAATCTGTCCTGGTACGAAAAATGTCCCGGAACGAAAACTGTCCCGCTACAAGAAAAGTCTTAGTACAAAACTGCCCCGGTACGACAAATGTCCCAGTACAAAACTGCCCCGGTACGACAAATGTCCCAGTACAAAACTGCCCCGGTACGACAAATGTCCCAGTACAAAACTGCCCCTGTACGACAAATATCCCAGTACAAAACTGTCCTGGTACAAGGAATGTCCCAGTACAAAAAAACTGTCCCGGTACGAGAAATGCCCCAGTACAAAACTGCCCCGGTACGACAAATGTCCAAGAACAAAACTGTCCCAGTACAAGAAATGTCCTAGTGCAAAATCTGTCCCGGTACAAGAAATGTCCCAGTACAAAATCTGTTCCGGTACAAGAAATGTCCCAGTACAAAATCTGTTCCGGTACAAGAAATGTCCCAGTACAAAATCTGTTCCGGTACGAAAAATGTCCCAGTACAATAACCGTCCCGGGAAGGAAATTGTCTGGATACGAGAACCGTCCTGGTAAGAAAATTGTGTGAGTACAAGAAAATATCTGAGGAGAAGAAATGTCCCAAGAGTCAGATGTTTTCTTTGTATATGGCACTAGACCTGACCAGTTTCAGCAACCAGGTTGCTAACTCAAAAGTGTTTTATCAAAATAAAGCCAAAACAAATAATAAAGAAAGAAAAATAAAAAAGATATTGAAGTCATATTTTGTAGAAATAATCATTTTAACATCATAATATTCTGAGTACTTAAGAAATATCATGAACTGGTCAGTTTACAGTATACAGTTGAGTTCAAACTAAAGTTACCATCCTTGTGCACATTATGTACACTAGATCTGCGCTAGAAGTGTACATAATGTGTACTAGTTGAAGCTAGCTGTTTAATATATACACATGAGTTATATACACCATTATGTGTGAGTTATATAAATCTTTCACATGTACTGATACCAATTAATCATTATGGACTAGATGTTTTGTTCAGAGCAGCGAATCAGGAGTCAGTTTTATTGGTCATATGACATTCACAAGTGTAACTATGTATATAAACGGAATCAGACGATACTTTCATTTAAGAACTTACCAGAAAACTGTCCGTAAAACTACTCTAGTATTTTCACACTGTCACAGCTTTGAACAAAAAAAAGTGAAATCTTTATTTAGGAATAAGGAATAAAAATACTTCTGTTATGGCAATTATTTCCCTTTTCATCTTGATTACGGTAACAGTTTTGGCAGAAGTTAGCAGTGAAATAGAATCAAAACAACTTCTAATTAACCAGGTAATATCGAGCTTTATTTACATCTATATTTTGTTGGTAAATTTCTATTTTTCATATATTATATAGGATCTTACACGAGTCGACAGATAATATATATTAAAACGTGATAATGTTCCTTGTGATAAAATAATTATGTTTAAAAAATAATTTTTCAATGTATTCGGATAAGATGATTTGCATCCAACTGAAAATGTACAGTATGTATCTTTTGATCCAGTTATTCAATGTAAATGTTTTCGATATTTAAAACAATTACGTCTATATACATGTATACACATGTACATTTTTTATTATATAAAACAGTAATGGACGATTTCAATGTGACTTACTGCCGTGATTCGGTGTGAAAACTACCAATACCACCACGTAATAGATGATTTATTTAATTATATAAAATTTCTTTTACGTGCCAAATGTGGCGTCTATTAACGTAGACGTCTCGTCATTTCCTTAGTTATTTATCAAATGAGCCGCGTCATGACAAAAACCAACATAGTGGGTTTGCGACCAGCATGGATCCAAACCAGCCCACGCATCCGCGCAGTCTGGTCAGGATCCATGCTGTTCGCTTTTAAACCTTTTAACAAGTAGAGAAACTGATAGCGAACAGCATGGTTCCTGATCAGACTGCGCGGATGCACAGGCTGGTCTGGATCCATGCTGGTCGCAAACGTATTACGTTGGTTTTGTCTTGACGCGGCTCAAATGATGAAGCTTATTAAATCGAAACATGTTTTGATAAATTGTGTTTCATCCTCTTATATGTTGGTAAAAGTTCCGATATGATTGATAAGCTTGATTTTCTTTTTTGAAGAGCAAACAATATCTTTTGAAAATAAATTTTCTTAATGTATAAATAAGATATTGCTCATATTTATTTTAAGAAATCAACAGCTGATACTACTGGAATAAAATGGAAATTTGGAATGCCTGAACAATGGGAAAACACTGGAAGTGATGTTAATGTTGCGCCTAGTTTAAATAGAGATACACCCGAAACAGGTCACGAATCTGTGGCCCTTATCAACAAAGTTGATAGTGTCAAGTACAAATTTATCTTTGAAAGGATTATAAAAGATGTGATCAAAGCTAAACAAGCACTAGCATTACAAACATCCAGTGATAAATATAGAATCACAACACTTCAAGAAACAAAAAAACCTTTATCAAGTAAACGAGACGATCAGATAATATTTGAGTCAGGACTGAATTCGAACAGAGAAGCGAAAAATCATGCAACGCCATTTCCTAACAATTCCAATGGCATGAAGCAAAGCTTGAAAACAACACGAGTTTATCCGGTAAGCGATCAAGCTTTATGTTCTGTTTAACTTGAATTGTGCAATTTTAGATGATTTTTCATTATATATATATATTATAATTCAGTATGATATATTTCGAATATCTTTCTGCACTTTATTTGTATGCGCTAAACAATTCTGTTCCTGTGTCAGAACTCTTTTTCATTTGACTTATCTCTAACAAAATACACTTCACATAGCCACCTTAAGCTTGTTGATGATAACATTCCAAAGCGACTTCTTATTCTGATTTTCTTTTCTTTAAATTTTCAGTTTCAAGTTGCGGTTATAATCAGTAAACCAAAAATACCAAGGAGAAATTCCGTTATTTTTGTGCCTTTACTTGTTGATATGACAGTTTTGGACGCCTTCGTGTACGCCACGAGGATATATATGGACAAAATGGCAGTTAAAACAGAAGATGTACCTTTCAACGTTGTTCTGGACTGGGACAATGAACTACAGTGCTACATTGTGATAAAAGCAGTTGGTTTAGAAAATAAACGTAGACAAGCCTGGGTTTTTACAGTAAGAGATGCCAGGCATGTGGTATGTAAATTCTCCGATATCTATGTCATATGTATTTCAAATTGATGTGTTGTGATAGGCAACAATTAATATCTTTATGAGAATAATTGAACGATTGATTGATTGATGTAGATTCAAATAAATAGCCCATAGACATATTCAGAATTAACATATAACAAAAAATCTGGAAACAAAGTGATCCCTCGGAAGCATTAATCACAACAAAATTACATAAGAATTGCAGACTCGGTTTGATTGAGTCTGTACATGAGGGATAATGAATAAGTGCAACATCCCTCTCGCCCCTAGCACCGGCTTGAGCGGTACTCAATTCTCAACACTTAATAGTGCTGGTATCAATGATCCCGAAGCATTACAACGCGTTTCAACTTTGGATGAATTTTCACAATAAGAATTATTATTCTGGAAAAAAATGGAGCGAACGAATGACCTGAAATTTTGTACAGAAGTTGTTTGTCTAGACGTACATAAAATGGAACATTATTATTTAAAAAATATTACCAGCCCCGTCATGTCAAAACAAATCTAAGTTGAGTCCCTTCAACCTGGACTCAAGATTTTTCTCAAGATCTAAAGATAAAAACGATACTGTAAAACAAATATTGACGTTAAATATAATTATATACTAGTAATCATTTCTTTTTGACATGATTTTCAGGCGATATATAAAGACCGCTGTCTCCCTGGTGACAATGTCATCCTGCGACCAAGAAGCAGTGTACAGCTGACATATCAACACATAAAACGCTTATTATACTAAATATTTGTACAACATGTATAAGCATGTTTGATACGTTTGACAGTTTGGAGCATATATACAATAAATGTATAAGAAATACTGGGCAACCTCTCCAAAGTTGGACTCTACAGAAACATCTTTACAATAACAGTTTTGATTCTTTCAAATTAAGACGTTCACATCCTCCTGTAGAACAGTAACCTCTGTATAACAACCGTAGCAATTATTCTCCTGTAGAAATAGTAACCTCTGTATAACAACCGTAGCAATTATTCTCCTGTAGAAATAGTAACCTTTGTATAACAACCGTAGCAATTATTCTCCTATAGAACAGTAACCTCTGTATAACAACCGTAGCAATTATTCTCCTGTAGAAACAGTAACCTCTGTATAACAACCGTAGCAATTATTCTCCTATAGAACAGTAACCTCTGTATAACAACCGTAGCAATTATTCTCCTGTAGAAATAGTAACCTCTGTATAACAACCGTAGCAATTATTCTCCTGTAGAAACAGTAACCTCTGTATAACAACCGTAGCAATTATTCTCCTGTAGAACAGTAACCTCTGTATAACAACCGTAGCAATTATTCTCCTGTAGAAATAGTAACCTCTGTTTAACAACCGTAGCAATTATTCTCCTGAAGAAATAGTAACCTCTGTATAACAACCGTAGCAATTATTCTCCTGTAGAAACAGTAACCTCTGTATAACAACCGCAGCAATTATTCTCCTGTAGAAATAGTAACCTCTGTATAACAACCGTAGCAATTATTCTCCTGAAGAAATAGTAACCTCTGTATAACAACCGTAGCAATTATTCTCCTGTAGAAACAGTAACCTCTGTATAACAACCGTAGCAATTATTCTCCTGTAGAAATAGTAACCTCTGTATAACAACCTTAGCAATTATTCTCCTGTAGAAATAGTAACCTCTGTATAACAACCGTAGCAATTATTCTCCTATAGAACAGTAACCTTTGTATAACAACCGTAGCAATTATTCTCCTGTAGAACAGTAACCTCTGTATAACAACCGTAGCAATTATTCTCCTGTAGAAATAGTAACCTTTCTATAACAACCGTAGCAATTATTTCCTGTAGAACAGTAACCTCTGTATAACAACCGTAGCAATTATTCTCCTGAAGAAATAGTAACCTTTGTATAACAACCGTAGCAATTATTCTCCTGTAGAACAGTAACCTCTGTATAACAACCGTAGCAATTATTCTCCTATAGAACAGTAACCTTTGTATAACAACCGTAGCAATTATTCTCCTGTAGAACAGTAACCTCTGTATAACAACCGTAGCAATTATTCTCCTGTAGAAATAGTAACCTTTCTATAACAACCGTAGCAATTATTCTCCTGTAGAACAGTAACCTCTGTATAACAACCGTAGCAATTATTCTCCTGAAGAAATAGTAACCTTTGTATAACAACCGTAGCAATTATTCTCCTGTAGAACAGTAACCTCTGTATAACAACCGTAGCAATTATTCTCTTGTAGAAATAGTAACCTTTGTCTAACAACCGTAGCAATTATTCTCCTGTAGAACAGTAACCTCTGTATTACAACCGTAGCAATTATTCTCCTGTAGAATAGTAACCTCTGTATAACAACCGTAGCAATTATTCTCCTGTAGAAATAGTAACCTCTGTATAACAACCGTAGCAATTATTCTCCTGTAGAAATAGTAACCTCTGTATAACAACCGTAGCAATTATTCTCCTATAGAACAGTAACCTCTGTATAACAACCGTAGCAATTATTTTCCCGTAGAAACAGTAACCTCTGTATAACAACCGTAGCAATCATTCTCCTGTAGAACAGTAACCTCTGTATAACAACCGTAGCAATTATTCTCCTGTAAAAATAGTAACCTCTGTATAACAACCGTAGCAATTATTCTCCTGAAGAAATAGTAACCTCTGTATAACAACCGTAGCAATTATTCTCCTGTAGAAACAGTAACCTCTGTATAACAACCGTAGCAATTATTCTCCTGTAGAAATAGTAACCTCTGTATAACAACCGTAGCAATTATTCTCCTGTAGAAATAGTAACCTCTGTATAACAACCGTAGCAATTATTCTCCTATAGAACAGTAACCTCTGTATAACAACCGTAGCAATTATTCTCCTGTAGAAACAGTAACCTCTGTATAACAACCGTAGCAATTATTCTCCTATAGAACAGTAACCTCTGTATAACAACCGTAGCAATTATTCTCCTGTAGAAATAGTAACCTCTGTATAACAACCGTAGCAATTATTCTCCTGTAGAAACAGTAACCTCTGTATAACAACCGTAGCAATTACTCTCCTGTAGAACAGTAACCTCTGTATTACAACCGTAGCAATTATTCTCCTGTAGAAATAGTAACCTCTGAATAACAACCGTAGCAATTATTCTCCTGAAGAAATAGTAACCTCTGTATAACAACCGTAGCAATTATTCTCCTGTAGAAACAGTAACCTCTGTATAACAACCGTAGCAATTATTCTCCTGTAGAAATAGTAACCTCTGTATAACAACCGTAGCAATTATTCTCCTGAAGAAATAGTAACCTCTGTATAACAACCGTAGCAATTATTCTCCTGTAGAAACAGTAACCTCTGTATAACAACCGTAGCAATTATTCTCCTGTAGAAATAGTAACCTCTGTATAACAACCGTAGCAATTATTCTCCTGTAGAAATAGTAACCTCTGTATAACAACCGTAGCAATTATTCTCCTATAGAACAGTAACCTTTGTATAACAACCGTAGCAATTATTCTCCTGTAGAACAGTAACCTCTGTATAACAACCGTAGCAATTATTCTCCTGTAGAAATAGTAACCTTTCTATAACAACCGTAGCAATTATTCTCCTGTAGAACAGTAACCTCTGTATAACAACCGTAGCAATTATTCTCCTGAAGAAATAGTAACCTTTGTATAACAACCGTAGCAATTATTCTCCTGTAGAACAGTAACCTCTGTATAACAACCGTAGCAATTATTCTCCTGTAGAAATAGTAACCTCTGTATAACAACCGTAGCAATTATTCTCCTGTAGAAATAGTAACCTCTGTATAACAACCGTAGCAATTATTCTCCTGTAGAAATAGTAACCTCTGTATAACAACCGTAGCAATTATTCTCCTATAGAACAGTAACCTCTGTATAACAACCGTAGCAATTATTTTCCCGTAGAAACAGTAACCTCTGTATTACAACCGTAGCAATTATTCTCCTGTAGAACAGTAACCTCTGTATAACAACCGTAGCAATTATTCTCCTGTAGAACAGTAACCTCTGTATAACAACTGTAGCAATTATTCTCCTGTAGAAATAGTAACCTCTATAAAACAACCGCAGCAATTATTCTCCTATAGAACAGTAACCTCTGTATAACAACCGTAGCAATTATTCTCCTGTAGAAACAGTAACCTCTGTATAACAACCGTAGCAATTATTCTCCTGTAGAACAGTAACCTCTGTATAACAACCGTAGCAATTATCCTCCTGTAGAACAGTAACCTCTGTATAACAACCGTAGCAATTATTCTCCTGTAGAAATAGTAACCTTTGTATTACAACCGTAGCAATTATTCTCCTGTAGAAACAGTAACCTCTGTATAACAACCGTAGCAATTATTCTCCTGTAGAAACAGTAACCTCTGTATAACAACCGTAGCAATTATTCTCCTGTAGAACAGTGACCTCTGTATAACAACCGTAGCAATTATTCTCCTGTAGAACAGTAACCTCTGTATAACAACCGTAGCAATTATTCTCCTGTAGAAATAGTAACTTCTGTATAACAACCGTAGCAATTATTCTCCTATAGAACAGTAACCTCTGTATAACAACCGTAGCAATTATTCTCCTGTAGAAATAGTAACCTTTGTATAACAACCGTAGCAATTATTCTCCTGTAGAACAGTAACTGGTGGATGTGGCTGGTACTCATTCTACTACTGCTCCGAGTACCTGTGGTGTTCCCCCTGAGGTTCATTTTAGGTCAGGAGTCTTTTATGTCTGATATATGTCAGTGACAAGTCTGCAATCGTAAGCAATAAGCTTTTATTATATGCTTATGACTCAGGTATTCTTGTATCTGGTTAAATAAATCTTAAGAAATTCTCTCTTATGGCATGAGTCTTAAGCTACAGTCTCACTTACATCCCGGCAGAGCCCCGGCAGAGCCCCGGTAGACGTCCGGGGTGATCCGGGAACGACCGGGGTACGACCGGGAACAACCGGGGTACATCCGTAACTCTGCCGGCAACGTCCTGGATGATCCGGGATGATCCGGGAACATCCGGCATTCGATCCCGGATGGAATAAAATATTTAATATCACCGGGGTGGTCCGGGATGATCCGGGAAGGTATAGCTTTGCCGGCATCATCCTTAGCTCTGCCGGGAACGACCGGGTGATACCGCGGAAAGCACCGTAGCTCTGCCGGCACAAACCGGGGATGATCCGGGGTATGATATAGCCGGTAGAGCTACGGTAGAGCTACGGTAGAGCCCCGGTATATGCCGGCAGAGCCCCGGTAACTACAGGCAGAGCCCCGGAGGATAAAGGTAGAGCTACGGTTGATCCCGGTAGAGCCCCGGTAGAGCCCCGGCAAAGCCCGGATCATTTCAAAAAAATAAGGACAATTTGTGATGATTGAACTTGTTTGTATTAGAAGCCTTCCCATGTCCCTTCTATCCAGTATGGCATAAGGATTTTTCAGAAAATCATCATGAATTACTATTCTGGAACAATAGATATTATATTAAATGAAAATTATGTATCAAAGTTATCATTTTCGGGCGTTTTAAAACCCACCGGGGTTCCGGGGTCTGCCGGGTCGCCTGGGCTCCCCGGGGCTCTCCCTGGTCGACCGGGGTTCCCCGGGGTAAACCGGGGCTTTGGGCGTCACCCGGGAACGACCGGGAAAAGCCGGATGAACCGTAGCTTCCCCGGGGTTGCTGGATGATCCGGGAGCGCACCTGGGTTTTTAGTGGGGAAACTACCTGTGTCCGGGGTTTTGATGCAAAAATAATTTTACCCCGGTGCCCCGGTTTCCCCCCGTAATTCCGGGAGGTTTCCGGGCTCTGCGGGAAAGTGGCCGGGGTTTTTAAGTTTGGTTAAGGGGAAAGACGGGCTTTTTTTTTTGGTTTAATTTTCAACTTAAGGGGCCCTGCCCCCAGGTAATTATGATGCTAAAAGTAAAATCTTTTGTGCAAAACTTAATCAAAATTTTTTGGCATCGCCTTTGATGCTTTGCATCAATGCTTTTCTTGTATCATATTGTATCACTCCGTTCTCACCAATTATAAAATAAATGACAGCACGTTCGTAGACAATAAAGAAAATTAAAAATAAACGTGTTTGTTTGGTATATCTTAATAGTTATCACCGTTATGACTCTTTTACACAGAATGTCCTACAATTTAAAGTAAATGAGATATTTCTTTGTTTGTTGGTTTCGTTTAACGCCTTTTTCCAACAGTATTTCAGTCATATAGGCGGGTAGTTTCCTAACCATCGTTCCTGGAGATTATGAGATATTTCAGATATTCAACAGAAACGTAATATGTATAACACAGCAGTATCATAGTGTCTCGTTCCCACTACTTAACTATCTCGTGACCACGACTTAGTAACTCACG